GGTCTCCGCGCGGGGGCTGCGCCTCCCGCCCCGCGCCGTTAAAGGCGTTGGACCCCGAGGACGCGGCGGTGTCAGAGGGTGTCAGGTTAAACCACGGCCCCGCGGCCTGACCTGGATCGGGGCTTCGTCCTCGGCGCCGATGGCGGGGAACAGGCGTGCAGCCCTCTTAGTTCGTGCGCGTGTGAATACCTGCCCTTGGGTTGCTGTCTCTTCAGGGAGGACGAGAGGGTAATTCCAGTTTAAGTGCCGGCCCAGCTGTTAACCGTTGCTGGGGTCCACCGAGGTTACGGCCGCATTTCGTTTTAAGACAGAATTTGAGTAAGGCTAATAGCTTGTTATGGAAGTGTGGATTGGAAGGAAGGTGGAAGAAGGCACGAAGGTCATTACAGCAGAGGATGATCTTCATGGGGTCAGGGCTTAACAAAAGAGCTGGTGTGTTTAGGGGGTTGTCTGTGCTGCTTGGTTTCCCAGAACAAAGTATAGAGAGTAAAGTAGGATTTTGAGTTTCTTCAGTATGCCATGCAAAAATACTCTAACCTACTGAGGAAACACGTAACTGCAGCAAGAGGGGCTGCTAACAAAATGACTTGAAAGTGCCAGAAAGAGAGCAATTTGAGTTCAGGTCAGTTATTAAAGCAATACATTTCTTAAGTTTGCACAATGCATCGTTCTCCAATTGAGGTGGTTCACCTCACCCACAAGGAAAAATACAGCAGAAGAGCAACTTCCTTTAAATGCTGTGCAACTTGCAGCACAGACCTATTTTTTTAACTGCCATTTAAGAATCTTGTTCAATTATAGCTACAGTATTATAAAACATGCCCCTGAAATCAGAATTAACTATAGATGTAGGACCCAAGACTACCAAGCAAGGTAAGACCTTGAACATCACGGTTAGCTGCCTTAAATTTTAGGGGGGTGAATGTCTGTGTGTCTTGGATTATGGTAATCTTCTGAAGAGGTGGGTGACCAAAATGCGTCTGGAATCTTCTCGAATCTTCTGTTCTATTAACTTGATCTAATATTGTTGGGTATTGCAAATGCACTTAGTGGAAAGACAGGGAAGCAATAATTTAGCAGCCGTTTGTTTCAGACTTCTAGATCTACATGTTTGTTAGATTTTAAACTATTTACAGGTCCAAAAAAAAAATCTGACATTGATCTTAAGTTCTTGCACATCTGTTTTGTGGAGCTTGCTCTCCAAACAAGGCATTTACCAGTAAGAGGCTTCTAGAGGAAAAGTAATGGATGTTCCAGTTAATCTGCATTTCGAAGGAAGGGTTTCTTCATCAGTGTGGTAGTTCAGCCTTCTGTTATTATTGTTTAACCCCAGCATATACAGGCAGTGGAACGGTTAAATAGCTTTACCTGTAATTATAAAATAATTGTTATCAATTATATGACTATACATTTTCTACTTAAGGCAAATTGCTTTTTGAATAACAGTAAAGGACAATGAAGCTGCTTGACTAGTTTTTGTGCAGTAAGCACTTCCTGCTTTTGGTGCTTATTGTTTTTAAAGTAAGCAATAAAATCTTGGCCGCTCTCCTCCGTGTCATTTAAAAATCAGATACGCCTTTTTCAAATGCTTCTGAGGCAAGATTTGGAATTACCACAGGTCTGGAAGGCATTTTCCATATTTGCACAGTAACCTCACTTATTTACTAAATGAACATGGCAAATACAGCCTCTCTGTTCATTTTAACAACTTGTGCAGCCTTAAGGAACTCCACATTAAATTGGTCAGGGTTAGAGACTTCAAAAATGGGAGAGTTTACTACTTTCTTGAAAAATACAGTCCTGCAGAAAGGCTGCAGTTGGTGCCCCTACTGAAAAAGACAAAATTGCATAGGCTCGTTCCTTGTTTCGAGGAAGTTACTGGGAAGGAGATAGCTTGTCCACAGGGCATGCTCTTTGCTTCTTACTGCAGATCAGAGAATCCAGTCAAGAGACATACTGCGGTAGCAGATGAAACTCCAGTCAGTCCTGTTCATAGATTTACTTGTTCTATTCATCGTTTGAATTCTGAATAGTCAGAGAAAGATGAGATCACTGTAGACTGATGTAATATCTGCAGGTGCTGATCCCCAGCCCTCCCAGAGTTTTGAGCATCCAGGTTATAAAATTTTCCATTAGCATCATGGTTTCCTCACAAGGGGGGAAAATCTACCCCCTAACTATTTGTAAATTCAGCAGATTCTTCAAGTAGTTTCTCAATAATTTGACATTTCTGCTCAGCAGGTTCAGGCACTCCCAGTTCATAAAGGTTATCTGCAGAGCTGCAAACTGTATTTCGTATAGATACAAAATGTATTGCCGCTGCTGATGTGCTGGCCAAGTTACAGCTCAACTCTGATCTGAGTCTTCTGGTAGGGATGAAGAGTCTCTGCCAAATGCTGCTGTGTACTGCTGTAGAAGGGAATGAGTAACTGTGTTACAGTACAAAGTCCAATATCTGGGTTTAAACAGCTGACAGAGTTGACTTAATGCCACAATACAGATTTTATGCTGAATCTAAGACTCATTTTCCTTTGTCAACTTCATTGTCGTATGGTGACTGCAGAAGAGGGGTGTACTGGGAAACTGGTTTTTTTCGCAGTGCCCCTGCAGTGTTGGCCATTCCCTTTTCTGCTATTTCTCTCTGTTTGGCAGCTCTCAGCAAATGTGTATTCTTTAATAAGCGAACTTATAGAAGGAAAATTCATCCTGGAAAACAGCCTGGAATCTTAGTGACTGTTCTTTAACACTACTTTAAGAGTCTCTGTTTTTCTTGAACCATTTTCATGTATATGATAGGCTTGCCACTAATCTTGGGTTGTTTTTTTTTTAGTGTGAAGTTCTACTTTGAAGAAATACTACCGTATTTTGGAGAGGACTTTTGAAACCATGTTTCTAAATCCATTTCTACAGACCACACACCACACTTCCACTGCAGACCCTACACTTAGGCAGATAGCTACCAGTTGTCTAAACCAGAATTACATTTGTTTTGCACATTGGTAGAAAAGTGGGGGTTTTTTTCCCCCACCCTCAGCCTCTACCTCTATTGAACATACCCCTTAAGACTAGAACAATTTGCTTGTTTTCTTGCCTATTTTTTTATTACCCATAAATTTCTGAGATTATTAGTAAAAACTGTTTATCAGTTGTTCTTACTTTGTTAGGTTCTGTTAAAACAAAAGTTTTCCATTTACTCTCGTTTCAGTCCCTGCATGCTGCTCAGCTCGCTACAATCTAGCACTACTGGCCTTTTTCGGGTTCTTCCTCCTGTATGCATTACGTGTGAACCTAAGCGTTGCTCTGGTGGATATGGTAGAACCTAACACAAGCTTAGCAAAGAATACTACTTCCAATGTGTGTCCAGAGCATTCTTCCACCATAAATGTTCCTCGCAACACAACGGTGAGGTCTCAAGCATATTGTCCTGTAATGTGGCATGTAAATGTCTTTTTAATAGAAGTGTGTGGTTGATGACTCATGCGTAGGTGGCAAGAGAACAGGCTGCTCTTTACCGGATGGCCTTTTCAGCGGTTCTTTTAAAGCTATTCTGAAAAATAATAGCCTTAAATGACTAGCTAATTTAGAAGTGCTGTGCTCAGGGTCAGTTTTTTTACGTACATCCTTTCTATGCTATTCCTTACAAATTGGCTAATCTGACCTTGCAGATCTATTGTGACTCACTATTTTATATGCTAGTGATCAACTGTTACTGTTACATCTGCATCAGAGCTCACATCACTGTCCATATTTGCCTGTTCTTCATACAGTCTCAATGGCATGAAATTTTGTTACAAATTAATACATAATATTTTTCTCCTCACTTCTTTGATCTCTTTCCCAGATCATGATTCTTGTCTTTGTATCCTTTATCTCTGACTTCCCTTCCAGTAATCCTTAAAATCACATTTCTTAACTGAACTGTTAGATATGAAAAAATGCTTTAAAAAAAAAAAAAAACAAACAACCTTTGTAATCTGGACTTGTATAGATCTTGCCTTATAATTACTGAGCACTCTTGTTGTCTTCCTGCCTTCATTTTATTTGCTTATTTAGAGGTCATTTATTATTTATCACAAGCAAATTATAACTGCGAACTTTATGGGAAAAAGATTCTGTCTCATCGCTTCTGCGAAATGTATGCTGCTTATTTAGATGCTTATAAATTGGGCTTTTGGAAGTGATCCCAACTTCAAAATCACTTTATTGGGCAACAGTTAATGACTTCTTGCTGACTTCCTTTATAGCTTCAGGCTCCTTATCTCAATCATCTTTGCTTTTATTGCTTTGTCCACTAAACTCATCTTCCCTCTGCTGTGCTTATCCCGTTCTTCCACCTACCCTTGTGACTCCTGTTCTTGGCTCATCTCTTTCTTTGTATTGTATTTAAGCATCTGCATCTCCTTGTTTGCTTTTCTGTCCATAAATTTTCTCCAGGAAAAGCCATTTTCTAGAGCATGTCGGAATGCCTGCACTGTGATACAGAAGTGGGATTCATGCTCATGCAGACTATGTAGTCTGTACCTGCGTCACCTAACCCAAGTTGCTTAGAACTCAGAAAGCCTGAGCACTTACATTTCACGTTGCGATGATTTTCATGCTTGGGTTAGATATGTCTGGACAGACTGTAAACTACCTGAATTAGTTTCCAGTAACTTTGCAGTATAGGTCTGTGTAGAGGAAGGAGACTGTAAGGAGGAGGCCATGAAAGATTTGTAATTTAGGTGTAAAGGACTAAAGGATGGATCAAAGTTATATAATATGTGGTCAGAGAAACTACTATTTTGAACTTGCTGCATTTGGGGTTTTATTTGTGTTTTTTTTCTTTTTAGGGGAAAAAGTATTCTTGGGACGCAGATACTCAGGGATGGATCCTTGGATCTTTTTTCTATGGCTATATCATTACTCAGATTCCAGGAGGATATCTTGCAAGCAAAATGGGAGGGAAGCTGTTACTGGGGTTTGGCGTTTTTGGTACCTCTGTATTCACCTTGCTTACTCCATTAGCTGCAAATTTGGGAGTTGGCTACCTCATAGCTGTCAGAGCCTTGGAAGGACTGGGAGAGGTAATCCTTTTTCTCTGTGTAACTTGAAATTGTATCTTGAATAATTTATTAATAAATTGTAGTGATTAGACCCTGTGCATGTCGGTATGCTGGAGTAGTATATGGATTGTTTCATTTTTAGTGGCTTAGTCTTAATTTTTTTTTTTAATGAAATACTCTTTGAAACATGCAAAGTTGCTAAAATTTTCACATTTCAACAGAATGAAATGTTGTTTTCTAGGGTGTTACCTTCCCAGCTATGCATTCAATGTGGTCTTCTTGGGCTCCTCCACTGGAACGCAGCAAGCTCCTTAGTATTTCATATGCAGGTGAGAAATTCCCACGCTGATAACAGGATTATACATTTTTACTGCAGTAACAGCGAAGATTGACTTGAATCAAAGGGATTTCTATTATAAATTTTAATTAGCATTTCATCTGGAAAGCATAACATTGAATTAAATCTTGCTTTGCGTTCATTATCTTCATTTATTCATGGCTCTTACAACCCTGAGAAAAGGTATTGATCTGCAACAGAGTATAAACTTCAAACTAACTTTGGCATAAAGTGGTGCAAAGAGTTACAGTGAAGCTGATTAATAGAAGATACCGTAAAGAAAGGAGATTTAGTATTAGGAACAAAAAAGCTGGGGCAGAATCACAGGATAGAGGTGTTTGGTTGTTCTTTGTGGTTGGTTTTTTGTTTGTTTGTTTGGGTTTGGGTTTTTTTTTTTTTTTTTTTGGGGTTTTTTTTTTTTTTTTTTTTTTTTAAGTATTTTTGGAGGAACTCAAGAAAATACCCAAGATCCCAAGTATTGCTGCAAGAGCTCCTTGTCAGAGTCCAATACTCCCTGGCCAGACTCTTTTGTAGATATTCCGTGCATGGAAGGTGTAATGTTTGATATCAGATTTACTTATTTGAAGATGTTTTATGTTACAGAGGACTTTTTTTTATTTAGCAGAGTGATAAAAAATGTGCTGAAAGCACAGTACAAATGTAAGTTAACACTTAGCAAAATATAGCAATTGCAATACACATTTGCATTACTGGTCTCTAATATGCTCACCGTCATGTTGCTGGGACTCCCCAGTTCCTGGGAAGGAATATGTGGGTTGAAGGCAGCTCAAATCTATTGTTATCTTAAAAATTCTGTTGTTAGTTGTTTAGTTTTTATACTTTATGTTGGGCTGAGCCACTTATTCACTTCACTTGTGCTGGTGTGGCTAACTTGGAGAGGCAGTCCCACTTTTAATGAACTCAGGAGAAACATTTACACCAGCAGCTGATCCACTCAGCAGTTGATATAGTCAGCTGATCCACTCAACTGACATAGCTGTTTATCTAAAACAAAGGCCACCCTCTGGTCCCCTTTGTGTTGAGATAAATTAAGCTTTCTTTGCAACAGCTGTGGTCAGACGCACCCTGTTATTATTCCCTGATCTTCATGGACACATTGCTCTTGCCCATTTCCACTGAGCCTTCTGTTTTAGGGGTTTATTGGTCAGTCACATTGCTCGATGCAGTATTTGTGGGGCAGGTGAAAAATGTAGCTTTCTAAATTTACTAGTCAAAATTGATATTGCCACTTTGAGGATAACAAATTTTGCATTCACTTAATGAAGTAGTGGTTTGTTTTACTCACTTTTGTTAGCATTAATTCTGTTACAGCTTTTTTGTTCGACCTGGATTTCATCAAGAAAACAGGGCTATGCCATGTAAACTGCAGCTACAGCTTCTCAAGAAGCTAAACTAGTCTAGTGGCTCACTTGTGCCAACAGGAACGAAGTCTTAATCCTTTCTTCCTCACATTTCCTCACTTCCTTCTTAGTCAAGTGTCTCATTCCTTCCTTTGTGCTATTTCAGGCACTCATCAGACCCTTCCGTGAGCCACTTTAACCCACCTAATGCTGCAGAAAGCTTTATCTCTTTTTTTTTTTTTTTTTTTTTTTGTATCTGTTTTCTGCTGTATTAGTGAATTAAATCTGCTTTAAAAGAAGTCTTTGTGCGAGAGCCAGCACACAAGTTGTGAACCTCATGAGGTTCAACAAGGCGAAGTGCAAGGTCCTGCACCTGGGTCGGGGTAACCCCCAGTATCAGTACAGGCTGGGGGAAGAAAGGATCGAGAGCAGCACTGCCAAGAGGGACTTGGGGGTGCTGGTGGATGAAAAGCTGGACATGAGCCGGCAATGTGCACTGGCAGCCCAGAAGGCCAACCGTACTCTGGGCTGCATCAAGAGAAGTGTGGCCAGCAGGTCGAGGGAGGTGATTCTGCTCTGGTGAGACCTCACCTAGAGTACTGCATCCAGCTCTGGAGCCCTCAGCACAAAAAGGACACAGAACTGTTGGAGTAGGTCCAGAGGAGGGCCACAAAAATGATCTGAGGGCTGGAGCACCTCTCCTATGAGGACAGGCTGAGAGAGTTGGGCGTGTTCAGCCTGGAGAAGAGAAGGCTGCGGGGAGACCTGATTGCAGCCTTTCAGTACCTAAAGGGGGCTTATAGGAAAGATGGGGAAAATCTTTTTAGTAGGGCCAGCTGTGACAGGACAAGGGGTAATGGTTTTAAACTAAACCAGGGTAGGTTTAGACTGGATATAAGGAAGAAATTCTTTACAATGAGGGTGGTGAAACACTGGAACAGGTTGCCCAGAGAGGTAGTGGAGGCCCCATCCCCGGAAACATTCAAGACCAGGTTGGACGGGGCTCTGAGCAACCTGATCTAGTTAGCAGTGTCCCTGCTGACTGCAGGGGGGTTGGACTAGATGACCTCTAAAGGTCCCTTCTAACCCAAAACATTCTATGATTCTAAGTTAAGCAGAGAGCACAGAGTTGGGACTGACATCTACTGCATTTAACAATGGGGAACTTTTAAACTGTCCTTTTGTATCTTGTGAAACTATATGCTAGTGTACTAGTGAGAAGAGGCTCTAGCTTAGAACTGCCAACAGTTAGCAGTCATGGATGGATAAGGCATCTTGTGTAAACCTAGCAGTGCGTTTCCTTTTCCCCACATTTTGGCAGTCATGTGGTCTGTGGTTTATTTAATCATGATCATGTTGATTTTCTAAGAGAACATATGATTGAGGCTATATGTAGTTGTTATTTTGATTTATATTTTGCATGAAGTATGTGGTTTTCTTGTTTGTGGTTGAAGCTTTCCATGAAGATAGACTCTAGGCAGCCAGCGTATCAACATAATATAATGTTTTCTGAGTTGAGATTAGGTTTGGAGAAATGATTGTATAACTAACATTGAGAGACAATTTATCATCAGTAGAGTTCCTAAGTATGTAAACAATATGGGTTTGTTTTCTGGTTTAGATTTGGGGTGGAACCCACCATCCTTTGCAAAATGTATATTGAACTCAAGACTAGTTCTTTCCTGCTTTTGGCTTGTATCTGAACTGGAATGTGCTCATCTTACCTTTCTTCTCTGTGTGATCCTACACCTGTTGAATTCAGGGACCATGGGAATTTAACCTCCTGGTTGTATGGATATGCCTTCTCACTCTTGTTTCTAGCATTCTTTTTTCTGTGGAGCTAGTAGGAGTTATGAGGAATGCAAATTGGTGACATCAAGTCAGAGTATTTCCCCTCCCCAAGTCCTTAATTGTACTGTGATCAGCTCTGTCTTGTTTTGCCACGATGCCAGTTGACTAATTTGCATTGGTTTGAATGTACTAGAGCCATCATTTTATTGGAGAGTAATGTTTTAACAATGTCTGCCTCTTATTGCTTTTTGATTTTAATTTTGGATGGTTGGAGCTTTGTGACTCCGTTTACTCAGAGCTGCCAAAGCAGCTCATTGTGCTTGTGTTTCTGTAAGGTGAAATGGCAGCCCTCTAGTGGTGGTGACAAATCTTTTCTGCATGATTTATTACCAAAAAATAAAATAACTGTGAAATGCCACTTAGTTTAGGGGGTCTATAGGAGATCTAATTATTGTTATTCCACATTGTTTTGCTTTCTTTTGGTAGGTGCACAGTTGGGAACTGTTGTGTCTCTGCCACTGTCTGGTTTAATTTGCTACTACATGAACTGGGTTTACGTGTTTTACATATTTGGTAAGTGGGTTTTTTTATTATTATTAAAAATACAATCCATATTCTTTTTGAAAAGTACTGTATACTATAAAACTTATTTTAAGTTTTAAAAATGTTTGACATGTAGTTTTGCTATTTTATTCCTCCTGGGAAATTAGAGATATTTAAAGCTAAGTAGATTCCTGTATGTGGCTATCTAATCCTTGCTTCCAATGAGCAAAGCTGTCACCAAGGTGGAGAAAAGCTGGTATAGGTCAAAGGCTCTTAACTCTCCTGCCACTTGGAAACAACAGGCTGAAATCTCTTACTTGAAGTGTGAAATTGAGTTAATAACTTTAATCCCAGGAACAAACTTCTACTCTGAATGAAAGAACATGTGAAATATTTGTATTGGGTCGAGCAGCATAGAGATGTGCTTTCTATTGGTGTGTAGAAAGAGGTTGATAACACACTAATGTTTTGGCTACTGCTGAGCAGTGCTTGAACAGCATCAAGGCTGTGCCTCCAATATTTCCCCCCCACCAGTGGGCTGGAAGGGGGCAAGATCTTGGGAGGGGACATAGCCAGACACCTGACCCAAACCAACCAAAGGGATATTCCATACCATGTGACATCAGCTTAGATATAAAAACTAAGGGAAAAGGAAGAGGAGGGGGGACATTCGTCTTTTGTGACGTTTTGTCTTTGGGAAGGAACAACTATGTATACTGAAGCCCTGCTTCCTGGGAAGTGGCTGGACATCACCTGCTAATGGGAAGTAGAGAATAAAATCTTGTTTTCTTTCCTTTTGCTACTGCGCGCGGCCTTTGCTTTTGCTTTTTTTTTTTCTTTATTAAACTGCCTTTATCTCAACCCATGAGCTCTTTGATTTACTTTTTCTCTCCTCTGTCCGGTTAGAGTGGAGTGATAGAGCAGCTTTGGTGGGTATCCAGCCAGGGTCAAACCACCACAGTCTTTTTGGCGCCCAACGTGGGGCATGAGGAATTCAAGATAAGGATAGTAATTGGGAGAGGTAATGGGCAAA